CTTTCGTTAGTCGTCACTTTACTAAATTTGTTAAACTCAGAAATGAATAGCGAAATAATTAGATGATATGAAGGTTTGGATATAAAGATAACGCGTATATCAAATACCACAGATCAGAAACGTTTTAACTAGTGGAAGATAGAGTGGATTAAATACGCCACCATGTTTGTAAACCTTTGGAAAACACATCGGTATTGTTGAAATTTCCAATAATTGACCAATACAGTTTTAAGCCATAAATAGTGGTTTAACTAACATCAAGGCTTTTGCTTCTTGTTAAGCACAAACTTGCACAATGGGCTGTCTGCGCCGTGCATACCAATGGAATCGGACCCTAATTTTTAGCGTTTTAAGCCCTCAAAGCTACCGCGAAACTCTCCAGCTGGGAGGTGGGGCTCTCAAGAGTGTTATAAACTTGATTGTTTTAGAATTTCGGGCAGAGCTACACAAGAAATATCAGCTCTAGCCTTCCCTGATTCTGAACTTATATACTAGAGGGAAGTACGATAGTCAATAATACGCTTCGCCAACTCTTGGGCTATTCTAATCAAATACTGGAAATTGACCGTTACTTTTTATAACGCAGCCACCACGGCCCGAAGGTGCGGCAACAAAATATTCTTAGTTCTAAAAGCTAGCCACTAGGCCACGCCCAGTCATAGATTAGTCAAAGAACAATATAAAATGAGAATAAAGCATATCGATAGAATTTTCTAATCCACGACAGCCGATTGTATTGATATTAATACTGTTGTAAATACCCTGATTTGAAACCGTAAAACGTAATTAAATATCTTAAAACTTTGTGTAGATTTCAAAAACGTGAAATAAACACACCAAAAACTGTTTTAAACCACTCAAAAAAGAGCGGATTTAAAATGGTTGCAAAATATTTGAAAAAAAATTACTTAATGCAAGAGTAATGTATTTTAGATCATTCATACTACATATGCGATGGTTTAAGGCTGTGCTAAATCTATACGTTTTTCTATTTTCACAGGTTTTACTTTAAACTCAGTGACATAAAATGGCATTAAATCTATCGGACTTATTATCCTTTCTTACATATATATGAAAGTAAATCAAATAATACAGAGTACTGCTAAACTTTATCACTAAGTGGCGCTGAAGAGTTTATTTTGTATAATATAACAGAAAAAGAAAAAAAAAGGTATTCGTTTTATACCGTAACCAGGAGCCGTAAAATAATGTGGCTACATCTAAAGCGTATGAAATGTTTGTTATAAACTATCTCTACAAGCATTATATCATTAAAATGTTTACGACATATATTAACGAAGCTGAACAAATAACTTGACAGATTTCTTTCAGTCGGTGGAAATGATCATTTTTAGCTGATTAGTAAAAATAGTACACAGTGTCTTTAAATAAACCAGATTGTCTATAATATCGTCTTGTAAGTTAAAGCTCCTCCCCCCCGAAAAAAACCTAAACAACAACACACAAACAAACTGTACTTTCTAATATATGCTACTAAACTTCATTGAGTTTCCTGAACTTGATGCCATTAGTATCGCGGAGCGTTGATATAGCCATCATAAAATGTTATTACTAGGAAATACTGAGAAGCTGTTGTATTTTGTAGGAGTTGGAATGTCTGACTTTTCGTCTGTTCTAAAAACGGCATTCCAACGCTGTATAAAATTTTGGGATAAATGTGTTAGAACATGGCCACTGTGACAGTTCTACAATATTCACATCAACTGCCCAAAGTTCACAAATCACAAGGGTGTTTGACCGTTTGGTAGTCGCAGTTAGAAAGCATGACCCTACCAATTTGGGATCGTCGTTACTCATGTTACTAGTTTCAAGTTACTCTCGGCACAGTAAAGGCTGCCGTCAGTGTTAATTACGTTTCCTCCGCAGTGGACTTTAACATCTGTTTCTTTTAGTTCATTGGCTAATCGTCACAGTTTGTAAGAAACTCAAATTTAGCAATGTGTTTGCTTTTCGTCCTAAAGTTAAAATCCGAGTGTGTGTATGTGTTTTTCGGGACATGAGACGCAAAAAGAGAAACCCGAACGCTAGGTGGTCGGTAATACATCGAGTAAATGCCTTGTTTCTTTGTTTTGTTAAGTATTGCGCAAAGCTACTCGAGGTTTAACTGCGCTAGCTGTATCTGATTTGGAAGTAATATACTATAAGGAAGGCAGCTAATCAACAACACCCACCACTAACTCTTGAGCTACTATCTTACCAACGAAAAGTGGGAGTGATCGTGATATTATAACGCCCTCGAGGCTGAAAGGTGAGCATATTCGGTGATGAGACTCGAGCTAGCGATTTGTAGATTTCGTCCTAACCACCAGGCCCTGTGTGGAAAATAGTGGTAAATATATTTAAACGTAGAACAGTAACTAGTTTTCAGAAAATACACGGTCGTATAAGTGTTGCCCTCTGAAACTTAAATATAGGTTTGTAAGTGGAAATATTGAAAGCAATAGAAACTTTAAACATTTGTATACGATGTGAAACAAACTTTCACACAAAGCACTTACTGAAAACATTCAGTTATTTAGTTCTCACTAGTGTTATCGGGTTTATTTATACGATGTGAAACAAACTTTCACACAAAGCACTTACTGAAAACATTCAGTTATTTAGTTCTCACTAGTGTTATCGGGTTTATTTATACG